GAGAGTATCTATTAGGTTTATATGGTCTACTGATTATTGATTATTAATTATACGTGAAACAGATTTCGGACCGAGTAATTTTTTAAACAAACTTCTATTTACATTTCACGGTACATGTACCTCCAATTAATAGAACAATATTACTTCCGTAGCGTCGTGTTTAAATGATCATTCGGGGAGAACGCGGCGTCGATTTTGTTGTAGATCTCGCGATTTATTTCGGAAGTGAAAGATCTGACCACGTCGACTCAGAAGTTTAATGGCGACCATAGGGGATGCCGGCGTACCTGCACATATGTATGTGCGCATAAGCCGATAATATCGGCGCACCGTTGAGAGGTCTCTCTACTTTGTCGGCATCGAAAAATCGAATTTTCTTTTTTTGCGGTTCCTTACTGTTTCATATTTGAAAAACATGATCCCGACGCGATGGGCAAATACGAAAAATTGATAACGCTGTAAACCTTGAAATGTTGATCGGCTTTCGGATCCTACGGAACCCGAGTTCCTTCGAAACAGTCCAAAAAAACCGATCGTTCGATTTCGACGAGAGCCAGCAACTATTTTCGCAAAATTCAAAATCGTAAATGCAGTTGCGATGTTTATTTTTTAATTAACGTCCCGGATATTTTCCAATTGAAATGATATTAAAAAACATTTTTGTAGTTCAAACTAGAACAGTTTAATCCAGGATTTGTCCGGTATGCAAATATTTGTCTAGACAGATCGCATGATTTTACGTTGGCGACCATAGTTTATATAAATTATGCGCGCGTAATTCGATCACCAATTTCGCATACAACCGATCGATTTATAGTCCCTGAATATTAACAGCTCCGACAATAAATATCGAAACGATACGTTTCGTTAATTCCGTCCCAATGGATTCATTTCTCGAGGTTGATTATGATATCCATGAATATTTTCGTATCCGTAATAATATCGTTGCATCTGTTAAAAACAACGTTTAGCGATCTGCGCGTGTTTCGCAATACCGAATTGGCTGAAATTATCATCTAATGATATCCAATCAAATTAAAGTGCAATTTAGTTGTAGCAATTCGAATGGAACAATCGATTTCGGCAAAAGTCACGGACGTCGAGATAGTCCGAAACCGACAGCAAGTTCATAAGTTCGTAAGTTCACGGGTTCATCGTACCTGATTATCATTTTCGTCAGAGTTTTCGATGTTTCCTTCGTTGTCGTCGCGTTGCTGGTCATCATTCCCCTCTTGTTCCTTCTTCTCCGCCTCGTCCCTGTCCTTCGAGGACTTGGTGACCAGTTCCATGGGGCCGTATGGTGGCCCGGCCGATGTCAATGGTAACGGCACCATGTCCGGCCGGTGAAGAGCGCTCAGGGCGAACGCTGCCCTCGGGAGCAGCTGCGAGGCGCTTGGGGGCAGAATCGGGTGCCTTCGGGCGAGACGCGGGTCACCCCAAAGTTCACCCGCGGCGTGAAGACTCCAGATCCCATATTCCATCTGCGAAAATCGTCGCAAGATTGCTCCTCGCGCCGAAACCAACGGGGGGACTACTCTCCTCTAACGGCGTCGGGAAATCGATTTCTTTTTTTTTCTGATCGGTCAGAAATACTCGCGGCTACGTCGAATTGTCTAGAATCGCGAATCTAGGAGATCAAATTTAGAATCTGGGATCTTAAATCTAGAATCTAGAATCTGGAATCTAGAATCTGGTATTTGGAATCTAGAATCTGGAATCCAGAATCCGGAATCCAGAATTTTGAATCTAGGATCTTAAATCTAGAATTCGGAATCCAGAATCTTGAATCTAGAATCTGGAATCCAAAATCTTGAATCTAGGATCTTAAATCTAGAATTTGGAATCCAGAATCGTGAATCTAGGATCTTAAATCTAGAATTTGGAATCCAGAATCTTGAATCTAGGATCTTAAATCTAGAAACTGGAACCCAGAATCTTAAATCTGGAATCCAGAATCTTGAATCTAGAATCTCAAACCTAGAATCTAGAAACTTAAATCTAGAATCTGGAATTTAGAATCTGGAATTTTGAATCTTGAATCTTGAATCTGGAATCTGGAATCTAGAATCAGGAATCTAGAATCTAGAATCTGGAATCTAGAATCTGGAATCCAGAATCTGGAATCTAGAATCTAGAAACTTAAATCTAGAATCTGGAATTTAGAATCTGGAATCCAGGATCTGGAATTTTGAATCTTGAATCTGGAATCTAGAATCTGGAATCTAGAATCTAGAATCTAGAATCTAGAATCTGGAATCCAGAATCTTGAATCTAGAATCTCAAATCTAGAATCTAGAAACTTAAATCTAGAATCTGGAATTTAGAATCTGGAATCCAGAATCTGGAATTTTGAATCTTGAATCTGTAATCTAGAATCTGGAATCTAGAATCTAGAATCTGGAATCTAGAATCTGTAATCTGGAATCTGGAATCTTGAATCTAGAATATGGAATCCAGAATATAGAATCTAGAATCTAGAACCTAGAATCTAGAATCTAGAATCTGGAATCTAGAATCTGTAATCTGGAATCTGGAATCTTGAATCTAGAATATGGAATCCAGAATATAGAATCTAGAATCTAGAACCTAGAATCTAGAATCTAGAATCTGGAATCTAGAATCTGTAATCTGGAATCTGGAATCTTGAATCTAGAATATGGAATCCAGAATATAGAATCTAGAATCTAGAACCTAGAATCTAGAATCTAGAATCTGGAATCTAGAATCTGTAATCTGGAATCTGGAATCTTGAATCTAGAATATGGAATCCAGAATATAGAATCTAGAATCTAGAACCTAGAATCTAGAATCTAGAATCTGGAATCTAGAATCTGTAATCTGGAATCTGGAATCTTGAATCTAGAATATGGAATCCAGAATATAGAATCTAGAATCTAGAACCTAGAATCTAGAATCTAGAATCTGGAATCTAGAATCTGTAATCTGGAATCTGGAATCTTGAATCTAGAATATGGAATCCAGAATATAGAATCTAGAATCTAGAACCTAGAATCTAGAATCTAGAATCTGGAATCTAGAATCTGTAATCTGGAATCTGGAATCTTGAATCTAGAATATGGAATCCAGAATATAGAATCTAGAATCTAGAACCTAGAATCTAGAATCTAGAATCTGGAATCTAGAATCTGTAATCTGGAATCTGGAATCTTGAATCTAGAATATGGAATCCAGAATATAGAATCTAGAATCTAGAACCTAGAATCTAGAATCTAGAATCTGGAATCTAGAATCTGTAATCTGGAATCTGGAATCTTGAATCTAGAATATGGAATCCAGAATATAGAATCTAGAATCTAGAACCTAGAATCTAGAATCTAGAATCTGGAATCTAGAATCTGTAATCTGGAATCTGGAATCTTGAATCTAGAATATGGAATCCAGAATATAGAATCTAGAATCTAGAACCTAGAATCTAGAATCTAGAATCTGGAATCTAGAATCTGTAATCTGGAATCTGGAATCTTGAATCTAGAATATGGAATCCAGAATATAGAATCTAGAATCTAGAACCTAGAATCTAGAATCTAGAATCTGGAATCTAGAATCTGTAATCTGGAATCTGGAATCTTGAATCTAGAATATGGAATCCAGAATATAGAATCTAGAATCTAGAACCTAGAATCTAGAATCTAGAATCTGGAATCTAGAATCTGTAATCTGGAATCTGGAATCTTGAATCTAGAATATGGAATCCAGAATATAGAATCTAGAATCTAGAACCTAGAATCTAGAATCTAGAATCTGGAATCTAGAATCTGTAATCTGGAATCTGGAATCTTGAATCTAGAATATGGAATCCAGAATATAGAATCTAGAATCTAGAACCTAGAATCTAGAATCTAGAATCTGGAATCTAGAATCTGTAATCTGGAATCTGGAATCTTGAATCTAGAATATGGAATCCAGAATATAGAATCTAGAATCTAGAACCTAGAATCTAGAATCTAGAATCTGGAATCTAGAATCTGTAATCTGGAATCTGGAATCTTGAATCTAGAATATGGAATCCAGAATATAGAATCTAGAATCTAGAACCTAGAATCTAGAATCTAGAATCTGGAATCTAGAATCTGTAATCTGGAATCTGGAATCTTGAATCTAGAATATGGAATCCAGAATATAGAATCTAGAATCTAGAACCTAGAATCTAGAATCTAGAATCTGGAATCTAGAATCTGTAATCTGGAATCTGGAATCTTGAATCTAGAATATGGAATCCAGAATATAGAATCTAGAATCTAGAACCTAGAATCTAGAATCTAGAATCTGGAATCTAGAATCTGGAATCTAGAATCTGGAATCTGGAATCTGGAATCTGGAATCTAGAACCTAGGATCTAGAATCTGGAATCTACACTGTAGAATCTAGAACTTAGAATCTAGTATCTAGAATCTGAAATCTAGAATCTGGAATCTAGGATCTGGAATCTAGGATCTAGAATCTAGAATCTAAAATCTAGAATCTAGGATTTAGAATGTAGAATCTGAAATCTAGAATTTGGAATCTAGAATCTGGAATCTGGAATCTAGAATCTAGAACCTAGAATCTAGAATCTGGAATCTACAATTTAGAATCTAGGACCTAGAATCTAGAATCTGGAATCTAGAATCTAGAATCTGGAATCTGGAATCTAGAATCTGGAATTTAGAATGTAGAATCTAGAATCTAGAATCTAGAATCTAGAACTTAGAATTTAGAATCTGGAATGTAGATTCTGGAATTTAGAATCTAGAATATGGAATCCAGAATCTAGAATCTAGAATCTAAAATCTAGAATCTAGGAACTTAAATGTAGAATTTGCAATCTCTTATCTGGAATCTAGAATCTAGAATCTAGAATCTATAGAATCTGGAATCTAAAATCTAGTTAGTCGTTTATGTTGTTTCTGACCGGACACAGTCCGGTTTTAAAAATTTATGTGCAACTGAACCCTCTTTGACACGGTCACCATCACCACCATTTTGTTGTTTACCCTCGTTACTGATATATTTAAATAATATAACTGACTAAGAAAAGCCGCAATCGTTCTACATTTCCTACAGCAAAATGAAGACAACCCACATTATTAGACAGCGGATCTTTATGCAAATCGAAGAATTGATTGCATCTATTGAAAGCATTGTTGGGCATTATTCGAATTGACTCGAATAAATATGTATCTAAGATAATTATCCGAATCAATACCTTTTAGTCGAATATTTTATTCGAATAACGATTATTCATTCGCCATAAATTATACTATTGGGTTGGCAACTAAGTAATTGCCGATTTCAGTTATAGATGTCTCTCACTCCCATTTTTATGATATCCGTAAATGTTATATTATAAAATTATTATTATTATTATTATGTTATTTTTTATTATCCGTGAATGTTAGTAACTGGACAAATTGAATGCAGCGGTCAAGGAAAAGCGAGCAGAATTGGTCAATCGTAAAGGTGTCATTTTCCAGCAGGACAATGCTAGGTCGCACACGTCTTTGTCCACTCGGCAAAAATTGATGGATATTGGTTGGGAATTGATGTTACACCCACCATATAGCCCTGATCTCGCGCTATCGGATTGCCACTTATTTCGATCCCTGGACAACTCCCTTCGTGGTAAAACTTTTAACGATGATGACGCTGTAAAATCTCACTTATCTCAGTTTTTGCCCGAAAAGGATCAAACTTTCTACGAGCGTGGAATTTTCAAGTTGTCAGAGAGATGGCAAAAGGTCATCGAACAAAATGGAAAATACATTACAGATTAAACTGCGTTCCAAGTAAAAACAATTTTTTATTTCATTGAACAAA